TAAAAATGAACTGTTCGATAGTCGCTCCCAGAGACAAAGGATTAGCCGATACGACAAAAAATTATTTACTTTTAACACAGTGCGTGAATTACTTGGAATATGAAACCTACCATATCTATCATAGAAGAACGGAGATGCGAAGAATAATCTAGATTGAAACCTTCTTCTACTTCACTGAATTAATACGGGGGCTTATTCTCTAATCAAAATTTATGAAAACACTCAGCGAGTCTCTCTAGAAACATGAAAAATAGCTAACAAAAGTGTAAAGCACAAACGTTTTGGTATTCTCTACTTGCTGTGCTGTTCATATTTGAAAAAAGTGAAGCACTTTCAAAAAAGTTTCGCTGTTCACTCTTTAAGCTTTGACATTGAACGCTAAAGTTTTCGGACGTAGATAAGTAGATACATAGACGAATCACATCAAAGACCCAGGAGAAAGAGAAAGTAATAGAAAAAACGGTTCATACTGACTTCAAACAGATCCAGACCGTTACCTATTATTCATTTGTTTTATCTGAGATAGCTTGCTTTGACCTTCTCAAACCTTCTTGAACAATCCAGATTTTTCTTGACGCACCTTTACTTATGACGACCGCAGCACGCTGCATGCGTAACAATATCTTCTAAGAATGTCCTGTTAAAGCACGTGCTCAGTATAAATATTTTAAGATATACTTTTAAGGTACGTTCTTAGTTAATACTGTTTAGAATTAACTTAGGTATAGACTTTTTAGAATATACTTTTAAAACACGTATTCAGTATATATGTACTTTCAAAGTATAATCTAGGCAAGTTCTGATAAAATTTTAAAGAAGACATAACAAAAAAATATAAATAAAACGTTCTTAGTATATTTTAAAACATTGATGTTATGTGGGTGTGTATAATATCGCTTTGGTTCCATACTTATAAACCACCGTGTATGAATACCGATTAAACTCCTAAGTCTCATTCAGATATGCCGATAAATTTGGTAAGTTGCGTGCTGTTTAGTAATTTGCGGAGTTCAAATAACAAAATGTAATTAATCAATTCAGAAAACTGTTTACTTTCAGTGAAGGACGGCTCCCTACAAAAGAAGCACATTTCTGTATATCGATTATCTTCAATATGTTCTAAATAATTCGTTGTCAGATCTGTAAAAATGTGTAATTGTAATTGTGAAATTATTCATCTTTGATTTATTTACAATATGATAAACAAAAAGTGAACCGTGAAATTTTTACAAAAGAAAATAAATAACCAGAGAGAGGATCCTTGTTGAAATGGGCTATCCCCTCAAATGTCTACTTTTTCAATGCGCATTTGTTTTTTGAGGCTATTTCTCGCTTTTCGTATTGCATGTAAGTACAGAAATACAAAATCCCCTTTAATTTGAAGATGAAAGAGATCATCAGTCAATAATAATGACAAATCCGTAATGATAAAATAATAACTGTTATTTTTACGATATTCGTGGCTTTAAACAAAACATTTCAACATGTTCAAGTAAGTTAAATATTATGTTATTTTTCCAATAAAATATTTTAAATAATTTCGGTGGATTCAATTAAGTATACTTTTATTTTTATATATATTTTTTTTTTTTTTGACAAAAATCGATTGACATTAATGAACTGAGGCAAAATAATATTCAATAAAAATTTAGAAGCTTCGGTTGTAACTGAAAGCAAATATATGTTCCCCACCACTGGAGGATAAAAATTAATTTAATAATACTGGTACCTACATTATCTATCCCATTTATCGAATTTTATGAATATGCGTCAGTGAATAAATACTTAGATGGTTTATTAAAAGAAGTGCAAAAAATTTGTTTACTTCACTGTTTATAAAAAGTATGTTGTCTAGGTAACTTCATAAATTAGTGATTTGCAGTTTACTCGTTCTGTGTTTTAAATTCTCAGTTGTGTTATCATATATATCGTCTAAAGGAGATGCAAGATGTTCTACATTTTTTAACAGTCAATTTCTATGAAACTCCTTACTATTTTTTGTAAAGATACTAAGAGCAGATTCGTTGAGAAGGAGAAGGAGAACGACTCCTCCATTTACATTCTGACTAAATGTGTAGCACTTAATAATCCAAAAACATTTTACTTAGGAGCATACCAAATAAAAGAGGGCGATCTATCTAATTGAAGCCACACCAAATTCTACACTTCGCAGATTTTATGACGTCAACATCAGTATTGTCACGGCCGCCTGTAGACTGCCATAGCTGTATTTACATTTTGTAATGATTGTCAAGATATTACTCTTGTATTTTTTAGTTCTATAATCAATATAAAACTGAAAACAGTAACTGATAAATTACATCAAGTTATGCTCAATAATACAAGAAAATTACAAGAAATATTACTATAGGCAAGCATTGCAAACCTCTTCATTTCTTATGTATTTATGTATATAAACAGAACCTGTATAAACAATATTTGCTTTGTTTCCATAAGATGAAGTCGTTTCTAAAATGTATATTTAAATAATCAAAACTATTTTTGTCTACTTTTCGTCACCTTTTTGACAAACTTTACATTGACGTATCGCATAAATCTTTAAAGCGTTAAGCCCGCTACTCATAGTGCGTGATGCGGTGCGATTCGTTGACACAGTGCGTGATGTGCGTTTAACATCTTAAGCAGAAGAATTTAAATATTAGCCCCCTACTCATAGTGACTGATGTGATGCGTCGGTGCGATTCGTTGGTGCAATTGCAGTGCGTAGGTAGTAAAAGAACTGTACTTGGACATTTGTCTCGCATTTAGACATGGGTAACGCACTAAAATTCTTTGCGTTGATACACTAACTCCGGCGCACTCTATTGCGCCAACTCATTGCGTTAACGCAATTGCGTTATTGCGTCAGAGCACTACCTGCGCTGAATGAAGTCGATGCACCTCGGTGTATCGCATGATACCGGTGTTATTCAGCGCGGGCTGTCCTTTTATAAGAGCCAAACCATGTTCAAGGTAATAACGCAATTGGGAATTTAACTAAATTTTTTTTATTATATGTTTAAAAATAAACGAAAATATAACAGGGTAATGCACCCATTTTTTTATTTTATTGTGTTCGGCTTTTACAAAGAATACAAAAATTCCAATTTATATAAAAAGGATATAACTTTTGTATACTAGTAGCCAATCAAAATGGGAAGAACTAAAAACTGAGTGTACAAGGTTAAAATGATGTGACATGTTGCAAAGAACATAATTACTTGATAGATTTTGGGCAATCTGCATTACGAGTTGCATCAATTACGTAAATTAAAATTCTCAACTCGTCACGGAAATCGGAATCAGTGCCTGGCGCATGGCGCATCAACAACTCGCGATCCTTTCGACTCAGTATCGAAAATTGCATTGCGCTGATACAATAACAGCTGGTGTATCAACGCTCGTAACGCATACAACTGCGTTAACGCAATAACGCAACGCAGCGCTGCGTTACCCATGTCTACTCGCATTGGCGCACTGGCGCGATGAATCATCACAATGCGCGATTCGTCGGTACGTGCATCATTTTCTTTGTGGGTTTTCCAAAAATCGACATCCCGCACTGTATCATCCTCATTATGTAAAGATTCATGCATCAATGCATTACATTAACGGAAAGTGAGTAGATGGGCTTTACTCTGATATACTTGGTATACTTATGAAGTTGAGTGGGATTTTCGGGGTTTTTTTTTTTTCATATTCTTATTTAAATAGCACCGTCAATCAACTCTAAGTCATCATAGATCCTTATGGCAAACAATAATACGAGCCGTGCCTTCCCGCACAAGCTCTAGTTTTAAGGTGATAAATTTATTGGAAGAGTATTATAATTATTACTAATAATAATAATTGATCTTGAATACAAACGCTTTTATGTATGATTGGATTTAGAGTAAAAACTTTTCATTTGAGATATTACACGGCCTGCTTTACATTTATCATTTTTTATTGATATGATGTCAATACAAGACTAATAACATCACTGTTACTAAATAATAATAGCCATAATATAAATTTAATTTCTTTAAAAACTTAAATTATTTTTAAACCGCCTAAGTGAAACCAAATTAATAGAAATATTATGTACCGGGTTAGGTTTCGGACAGGTTCATATTAGCGTTTTACGCATGCTACCTTAAGAACCCGGCTCCCAGGACATAGTCAATTTTTCAAATTATTTTGTTTTCACTTGGGAGTTCAAAAATAATTTTTATTATTGCGTAGGTGTAATTTTGAAAAATGTATATTGGAATTTTGTTTGCGGTCAGTAACCGATAGGTTTTTGGAATTTCAAACCGATCTTTCACTATCTGTTGACGATAGCTCATCAAATGAAGAGATAAAAAAACTTTATTCACTTCACAAAATTTAATTAAATTTTTTTTTAATTAATTTATTTAACGTCGGCCTATTTCTAATTACCAGAAATTTTTCAGTATTCCTGGTGTAAGGAATCTTTAGCGAGCCAAACATCCATGGACTCGGGATATCTCCTTCGAAATATGGCACACCTCCCGCTATACCTCGTACTCATTGATGTAACGCCTTCCCGCTGTGGTATGCAACTAAGCAAGCAGTTTGTACGTACGCCGACTTTCATTGAAATGGTCACCTATCCAACTACTAACTGCGCTGGACCTGGCTTGACTACAGATATCGATACACAATAAGTAAACCTGCTAAGCCGGGCCGCAGCCACTAAAATATTGTTACGAATGTATGTCTTACCTTATTTTGTCGAACGCAGTATCGTAGGGAACGAATCATAGAATCCCAAACACACCTTTTTTAACAAAAAATTTAAGCTGGTTTTTAACATAAGACCTTCTTACTTCGGCAACGTTCTCAAAATGGGCTTCTACTTCTTCCGTTTGCTCATACACACTCGGTTTAACTTTTATAGCTTGCGAAAATATAGCAGAATCATAAAATAAGGCGTATTTTTTCGTCAAACACTTCGCAATAAATATTATGCTTAAAATATTTCATACATTTTTCAGGTTTTGGTGGGTTATCCTGTTCTGCATATCACTATACGTTTGTATAGATCTTATTAGCAAAACCTGGACGAAATGGGACCAATCACCTGTATTGGTGAGTTTTGCAAAAAGTCCTACACCTGTCTGGCAAGTTCCCTTCCCAGCCGTTTCAATTTGTTCAGAAACTAAAACGAGGCAGACAGTTTACAACTTTACAAACGCGTTTGACAAATTTGTCCATGGAGAAAATATGACAGTTGAAGAGTAAGTCATCCAATAATAACACTATTTCTGTTCTAGATTGTATACAGGGTAAGTGATAACGATTGGGACATAGACTAGGCGCAGGTTATTTAGATTTAATCATGATGATTGAATCAAACATGCCTAAGGCCCCTATAGACGTACCAGTATACTTAAACGGTATACATGTACAAGTCTATTGCACAAATATACTGGAACGTGTAGTTGGTAATATTTGCAGAAGCACGTTAATTGTACAAGCGACACGAGACTTGTGGAAATTCTATATGTTTACTTGTGCATGTCGGACATGCACAAGTAGAATTGAGCGTATGTATGTGAAAAACTTGTACAAGCTTGAAACAGTTAAGATTTGATTATTCCTAGAGGAGTGCGATTTACGATGCTATGACGAATCACGAGAATGTTTAGAAAAATGTATTTCTATTTACGAACATGAACCGTGTCTGTGGCGTATTTAAAGCAAAGAGTACCAATATAGGGGAAAAAAGGGAACGGCATATAAAAAAACTAATCGAAAAATTGTAGGAAATAGACCCAAAAGCACATAGTAATATAGCGGTTAATAAAATTGACGTCTTCCAAACAAATCACAGAAAGGACAAGAAAAAAGTCAACAGTGGCCAACGCGTTGTCGTCGTTCTACAATAAATGGTTTAACACTGGCGCAATGTGCAAGCATACTTGTACATGTTTTTTCTACACAGATATTCAAGCATACTTTTGCAATTAAGTTATATACCATTCCAATCTGGTACGTCTACGGGGGCTTTTAATAAAATATTGCTATGGAAAAAGTTGAAGTATTTTTCACAACTTATTCATAAATTATTATCAAAATTAGCATAACTATACACAAGAAATATTATTTTACATTTTGTTATAGATAGCGCCACATATGCGATTACTGATACACCGCATTTTTAAGTAGAATTTTCATACCTGTTTAAACTTAATAATTTCAACCGTTTTCGAGAAAAACGCAATTAAACATTTGAGAGTCTCGGAAAGGGATTTTATATAATATTTCAGAAATCCTGATTTAAATCCACTGGGTTTCTAATTTTCGGAACATATGACAATATTTTGGCCAAAAAAGGTGCTCGTACTCTGTCATGACTTACCTTGTATAATAGCTTTTTATATACATAGTTGCGGAATAACTTTGTGTAACGAGTAAATAAAATAAACGAGTAACATAAGACGGCAATTTGCTACGTGTTTACAATTAAGATTTTTCCAATTTTGATCTTCCTTATCCCAATGTTCTTACTAATCTAAGATACGGCAGTTTAAACATAAAACCAATAAGATATAAATAGCTTGCTAATTAATATTCTGACTCTATTTCCCTTCATTACCTACAAGTTTATTGATTTGTTTTTATTTACTTCATTCAATCCTTATTGAAATAAACGTACCATTTAAAAGTACCATTTGACAGTAAATCATAATTTTATAAGAAGCTAAAACACATAGATTGACAATTTTTTACTTGACAAAATTATCAGTTTTAAACAGATAAGTTGATAATATAATAAAAATAAACAATGAATTTCGTATTATAATAAATATTGTTAACATTAAATAAAAAAGTTAATTTAAAATAGACCAGATATACATTTTAACATTTTAGTTTTAACGTCACAGTAGAGAACAAATCACAATGATGAACAAATATACTTGAAATGTTCGTTAAAAAAGTCAAATTAAGAAAATTGAGACATAATTTGGGTTTCATTCCTACAAAATACATCTGGTACAAGAACTTAACGAAGATGATTTTGTAAAATTATGACTGAAAGGGAAATATATAATCAGCACTTTCTTTTTAACGTGTGCTTTTCTGACGAATGCTCTTTTTTCCTAAATGGTACGGTAAATCGTCACAACTGTCGATATTGGTTTCCGTTCAGAGAACCATACTGGTAAAAAAATGTTTCCCCTAAAATCAAAAATTGACGGGTCCGAGCGTTTTTTCGTAAATGGCCTATGGTGTCCAAAAACAGTTACGAAAAGTTGAGTTTGTCTTCAAGAATGTCTACTTTTTAAATAATTATTTATTTTTTATTTTTAGAATGAAACGTTTTTCTGACAGCAGTTTAATATGTGATAATCACTTATATAACGAAGGAGAAAAATTCACCAAATTGAACACAATTGATTATCTAATGAGTGTAAGTTATTTGTTCTTTAATAAGTATGAATGCATTCTTGCAGAACCTAGTTTGCGCATATGTATATATAGGGTACACCAATAAGATGTACAGTAAATTTAACCACAGTTTCTAGAGTCGAAAATAAGTCGATTTAAGCTAACTTGTTTATATAAACAAGTTGGGACCACCCCTGAGGTACTCCCCTTCTAAAAAAGAAAGAATTATAGAAACCGGACAACGTAGCAAAGAATTATCTTTTTGACACCCAATAAGAGTCTTTGTGGCTCCTTCTGGGTGAATCAGCCTCTTTATTGCCTTTATATTCTCTATGGCCTAGTGCCCAGGCTAAGCTTAGTCTGTTTTGACTATCCAGTTCTGTTAGGGCTTCCAAAAAGTCCCACATAATCTTTGAATGTACCTGCATCGAACTGAGTGCTTTTAACGTCACTTGACTGCCTGAGCATATGACAATAATTTTTCCATTTACCTTATATCATCTTATTGTGCTTTTTCATAGTGATGTTTTGCTGCTATTTCTGCCTGGAATACTGTCGCATGTTTACCTAAGTTCAGTAAGATTCATGTCTTTGACTTGGCATTATATATAACTACTTCTGGAACATGAGTTTTGGAGTCTTGAATAGGAGGTCCTTTCGTCCACGCTTTCCTATCTGGTATACTTTATATTGCTTCCGAGTTATATTTTGAGTGCATTTTGTCTGAAGTCATTCCCATTGTTTGGGCCTTCTCCAACTTATTGTTTAGCTCGCTGAAGTTATGTCCATGCAAACTATTTATAGGTGATGAAACTTTATACAGTTTGCTGTTGTTGAAGTCGTTCTCACTGCTCCCGTGTCACTCCAGCATGCTTGCCTTCAAATACCGTTGATCTGTTAGATGGATCCTGTTTGCAGGTTCTTTGGCCACCATAATACCGATCTGTAGGTCATAATATCCTTACCACTCTGGTATACAGTCATAGGGATATTTTAAATTCTAGTTCCCAATTTTTTTCGCACAACTTTCGACATACGTTTTGGGTGATTTTTTGTAGGTGTTTATACTATGTTAACCTGTGATCAAAGATAATAGACAAGTATTTGGCCTCTTGGACCAACATAATCTCCATTCTTTTCAGTACTGGTGACTTTAGTTCTGTTAGTTCCTTTCGTTTTGTGTAGTGGTGTATTGTCGTGTTTGTGAGCGTTTAGTGTTAGTTTCTCCTCTCTGCACCACCCGTCAACGATGTTTAGAGCGGTTGGTATGTGTACCGATATTGTACCTGCAAATTTACCTCTTACGACGATCTCCAGGTCATCAGCACACCCTAAACAGTAAAACTCTGTAGATATTAGCCTTGAGTTAAATTCGTTTAATAGGACAAACCAAAGGAGGGGTTAAAGTACTTCTTTATAATGACATTATTCGTATTTTAAATTAATCGCTTACTACCATGTTTTAGAAATAAATAAAGTGTAACTCTTAAATTAATAAACATATTCCTAATAATTTAAGATTCCTTGCGTCATCAGTGGCGGCTCGTGCGCACTAGCAGCAGTGGGGCACACACTGGAAAGGAATCCCGGGATTCGTTTTTCCCTTAAGAAAACAAGTTCTCCGCTTAATGAAAATTAAATATATTTCAAAACAATCAGTTGGGGCAATAACGATTTCTGAATGTGACTACAGGGAGCTAAATGTGACCACTCAAAATGCATTTAACTATGTATATGGCTATTTAATCCAAAAATAATTACATATCCACTCTTGCGAAATTTGCGTAAATTTCTCAGAAGAATGGAATTTACTTAACAATTCTAATTTGTTAACGCATTTTAAAGCTTACGACTCTGAAGAAAAGGTGTTTGGCAATTTAAAATCTCCCAGCGAATTTTTTTTTATATATTTTTAAATTAGAAAAAATATTTATATCTCTATTTGTCAACTAAGCCTGGAATTTCCAACGCATACCTTTTTGAGATGAGCAAAATAGAATTTGGTCATCCTTGCCAACAATTTGCGAAAATGTACACCATTAAATTATTTATAAGATTATTTTTTATACTCTTAAATATGCAAACAGATTTGAAATCCTCGAAAAAGTCAGACAAAACCAAAAGAAAAATTTAAATTTTGTCCCATTAATAAATATTGATTTTTTTTCATCATATTTTTGACCGCTTTATAAAAAAAAAAGTTATTCTTCTTTGTAGTTTTATTTCTTAACTATCCCAGTGGTCCAACTAACGTTTTTTCGTAATCACAATAAATAAATTATTATCATGGTCCAACAAACTCGCACCTTAAGCTGAAACCAGCATCGCCTTTGTGAGGGAGCCGGTAAAGATGCTGCTGCGTACATTCGTATCTGGTCTAGGTAATCTGTACCATGGGTACAGCACGTCACAATGAGGACAGCGCCATGCTTATGACGTATAATCCATCGCATGTGTTCATCTCTTGCTAAGCGATATTGTCGTTGTCCTTGTTTTTCGCAACATAATGAGAGAGAAAACAACAGAGACACACATTTACTGTGCCCTGCACATACTTTTAAAGTATGTGGTGCCCTGTGTTCATCTTTCACCTGATTTCGGAATTCTCGGAACGTCGCTCAACGCCCGGTCGTCCAGTGTCGTACCAACGCGGTTTGCGCTGAATATTAGATAAAATAATAATAGGCATTGAGGAAAATATAAAATATGTAGGTTATTTTTTTTTTTTGTTTATTATACTAGGGTACGTGCCCAAGTGCCCTTACGGGCAAACCGCCACTGTGCGTCATGTTATTGAAAATTAAGCAAAATTTGTCACCATTTATTTGGTATTGTGTCCCGTACTTCCATGTCTCTGCTGTCAACTAGTTCTGGTAAGGCATATTGCATCTAAAAATTTTATCTTGCATCTTTTCTTCCCAAAAGCTGTCATTTTGAGGAATGTTCTCCACTTTTATTTCTCGAGGAGTTTAAACACACACAGTGCCGGTTTAAGGTACTTTTGCGCCCGGTACTACTTGTAATCGCCGCCCTATCAATTAATAATTTATAAATCTTAGAATATTAAATTTGTATATTATTTAAAAAAAAAAACAAAATTACAAAATTCAAAAGTATTATATTTATAACGTCACAAGTCACAACATCAATAAACCATAATTATTATGATGGTTCGAAACAGCTATAAAACTAGTACGCAAAAAAAAATAATAAAATAAAACAAACAAAGAAAAATGGAATAAAAACAAAATTCCAGTCTAAAACATAAGTTGCCATTCTTGTTTTTTACAATATCCCTGGAGGGGCTTGTAACAATGCTCATGGGTGACTACCGCCCTCCACCATGGTATCTATTCTTGAATCTCAGGGAGTAGAACTGTTAAGGGAAGAATGAGACAGAAATACAAATTTTGTGCGTTGTGGATAAAGAGGAAAAACAGGTTTTCTATTTCCTCAAATTCAAGAATAGCTATCCAAAACTAAAACATTTCCTTGTGATGAAACCTCGATAAAACCGCAACTATTTATCTTCCAAACACTGCAATCTTACAAGGAAAAAAAATAATTTAAAAAAAAGGGTGTTTCTTGAATGTTTGGTGGTTTTGCCTAAACACTTTTTTCACTATTTTTTTCCGTACTCAGCAGTATAAAATTTAATCGTATTTTGACTTACCTAATTTAAATCCACATTACTCTCAACTGCTGCTCTAATGTATCGTATCGGTCGACTTCAGGGGTTGAAATTCACTCGTAAGGGGGTGAATTAGGGAGAGTATTATTATTATTATTATTATTATTATTATTATTATTATTATTATTATTATTATTATTATTATTATTATTATTATTATTATTATTAATATTATTATTATTATTATTATTATTATTATTATTATTATTATTATTATTATTATTATTATTATTATTATTATTATTATTATTATTATTATTATTATTATTATTATTATTTTTGGTTTATCTCGTATTTTAAACGGTAGGTACTATCTTTACGGGTCGAACCAAGGTAAAGAAGCTTTTCTTGTTTTTCTTTTTATTCCCCGAGAAATTTTCTGACCATGTTGCATGTACCAAGAACTACTGCCTTCTGCATTTTAATATATATTGATGATGGTACCTCTAACTTTTTCAGAGCTTCATGGAGATTGCGTGGTACTATTCCTGTAGCAGATATAATTATGGACAAGATGTATACTGCTTTAACCTGCCATAACTGTTTTACTTCAAGAAGTAATTCGGAATATTTTCTAATTTTTTCAGCATATGCAGCTTGGATATTGCCTGTATTTGGGATAGAAACGTCTATCAAGAACGCAATTTTATTATCTTTATCAATAATTGTTATATCTGGCCTATTATGAGATACTGTTCTATCGGTTAAGAGTCCTCGGTCCCAGTATATTCGAGCTGAACTATTTTCCAAAGTTTTTGGAGGGTTACACTTGTAGTAGGGAGTGGTTTTTTCTTTTAATTTGTAATTTACAGACAACTGATCATGCAATATTTTCGCTACATTATCATGTCTAACTTTATATTCCGTTTGTGCTAGTGCTTGACATCCGGAAATTATATGTTGAATATTTTCAACGGCAGATTTACATCTTCTACATGCGTCATCTTCGGTGCCATCCCTTATAATATGTTTCTTGTAGTTTTTTGTACTTATCACTTGATCTTGGATGGCCATCATAAACCCTTCTGTTTCCGGAAATAGAGAACTGTAAGAAAGCCATGCGTTGGATGCAATCTTGTCGACATGTGGTTGGTTTAGTGCCTGTGCATGTTTTCCATGTAGCGCTTTTTGAAGCCAAGCTTGATGTTTCTCAGCGCTGCTTGTGATTGAAAATTCACCATCTTTACTTAAATTAAGCGGTGAATAGTTATCGTCAATTGTTACAACTGCAAGATGCATTTCTGAAGTCTGTTGCTTTTCAAGGAAGTATTTTTTTAGAATATTTTTCTGTTTACTCAGTAAGTTGCTGATATCAATTAACCCTCTCCCAC